GTATTTCAATAACGGCATATATGTCAGTTCGACTTACATGACCGAGTGATTTAATAGAAAATATGACAAAAATATCCATTTTGTCACAAATAAAATGCAATGAAATACGCCGACGTCGTTCTGTATGTGATTCACAACCCTTCAAAACGTATTATTACAATTTAATCTATATAGATAGGTTAATATGTGAGATAATGCATATTCTATTGTGACTGACGGTCGCCGTAATGTATAACAGTCGGCGAAATTCCAAATGTATATGATTGCGAGCTTTAAAACCTTTTCATAGAGATCGTTCATCGTTCGGCGATACATGTGCGTGAGAGCCCGTGTATCTACCCCATAAAAAGGATTTAGTGGATCCCAATATTTAATTCTATTGCAAATATATGAAAATTGAAATATATGCACTAAATTATTTAAATTAAATTCCCACTTACCGATGTGTAACAACAAATATTTAATACCATTTAAGGTTGAAATCTTTACTTTCACTATGTTTAATCTGTTTAATTCTTTATTAACGCAGACAATGTAATATTTGAAATGCCTGTCTATGTATAAAATTATATCTCAATTTATTTGAGGAAATATTAACAATCATCCAAAATTAGTACGATTATTAAGTTACCTTAGTCTTAAATCTAAGGTAAATTGTCTACCGTTGGGTCAATTTTTAACAAACGCATCACAAAGATTAGATTTACTGCAGGACTTGCCTAGAAAGTTGTAATTAAATAAAAGAAAATAAATTTAAAGCAAAAATTACCATAAAAAATAAATTATAAAATTTATGATAAATGCTTTCAGCAAATACGTTATAAAATTAAATTAATCATTTTAATACTCACACAAGAAACCCAAAATTAGTTTTTAAAATAGTTTTGATATTAAAACACTATTTGCATTCAGTTGCGTATTTTCATACAGTTAATGATTATCATAAAAGCGGTTATTATAAATTTTCATGTAAACTACTGCAAATTCATGAGATAATTACAAAAATGCGCGTTTTATAAAGAATTAATGATTTTTTATCGATTTATTATTATTTTTGGGAATCTCTGCCAACTCGGCTCTCAATTCATGCGGCTATTATTCCCGATGTAGGGGAGACACGTGCTTGTCGGGGGTTGTTAATTGTGCAGGTAAAATATTATGAGATCAAATGATGGATAAGGGCTCGGAATTCAGCAGTTATCGCACGATAGAGCGTTCCTAATAAACACTAATTGTAATTTTACATACACTTTTTATTTCTAGCTTGCATGAACAATAACTACTCGAACATATCTGCACGGAACATGCAATGTATGTTTGAGTAAAGTATTAATTCTTAATTGGAATGAATATGCATCGATGAATTAAATATTGGTATAATTGATCAGTCGATTAAATAACTTTATTGGCATATCGCTGGCAAAATCTTATCGCAGAAATTTGAAATAAAATATAACAAAACAAGTAATCGAGTCATACATACATTATGCATCTTTAGTATATATTACACACACACATATATAAATATAAATTAATATATGTATGTGCATAGAATAACCATACATTAAAATATTGTTAGTTATAGGATGTAAAATATATATTCATTCATATAACATATCAAAAAATTTAAAACATTCATAAAATATCTAAAATTTGAAACATCGTTTTTCAAAGCAAAGCAGAGGGTGGCGAGTATATGTTTGTAAAATTGTGTAGATATATGTTTGTAAATTGTGTATATATATATATATATATATATATATATATATAGGCATGTTTCACAGTATATCATTACTTCGATCAGGTTAATGGATCAATTCAAAAACATTCAATCAAAAGTAATGCAATGAATTGCTCGTGAGCTTACATTACGCGGATATATTTAATATCGAAAATGTAACAAAATTGCTCAAGTGTCAATCAATCGTATATACCAGGAACTACTTTAAGTTATTGCTTATATTTGATTTTATTATTCATATTCATTTCATAAAAATACGTGATTGAATGATACTCTAGTGAATTGAGATTTGTGACATGTAATAATACGTATGTTACATTCTTACACTTGTAAACCAACACAACATATATATATATATATATATATATATATATATATATATATATATATTATCAAAATGGTTAAGTATAATACTGCATGAAAAAAGTTATGAATTCAATAGAGAAATTGCGATGAATTCTATTATATGTAGTTCACCTACATTCGGTTGATTAATTTTTTTATTACATTAAGTTAACGAATATAACAAAAGTTATGTAACAAAAGTTATATATAAAATGTATAAATTTGATAGATAAAACTAAATATGTAATATTAAAATATATGCTTTTTTTGATACTCAAATTAAATACCGGGTGAATATGCTAAAAAGAGAAACTATTTCAGAAATTGCATATAAAAATCTTATGAAATGCAAACGTATAGGTAGTTAATAATAAATAAATTGCCCTTATTTATCTTTTCTAATGAAAAAATTCATTCGTAACCAATTCATTGCGACCTTAATTTTTGTAACCAAGATCGATATAGATATACATTTTAATCTTATCCAAAGCATTTCCCTAAAAATCTAGCCAAATCCCTCTTCCCAAACGATCGTAATTTCCAAATATTATCGACTTACAGCAGTTACTTGCTCTAACAATTTATACGAGATACACCTATATAAATATGTGTACGAATTTGTCTAGTCTAATTATTTCCAACGTATGACATAATATTTTAAATCTATGATTGTACGAGTCGAAATGAGTCTAAATCTCCAGGATAAGCACCGACGAAACAGACCTCCGGTTTTCCCACATCTAATCGGGCGACTGACGCGAACAGGTAAATATACAACAAAGTTTAGCGCGGATTTCTTACAAATTCATACAAGCATTAAACAAGGGATTTACAGTGATTTTTAATAACGTCTATTGAATTTAAAACCGCAATTGCGGTTAAGAAGCGACGGGGGCGTTCGAGATTATCCGTAGCACTTTCATTGTCATAGCCAATTTGGACAATGTTTATGACAACGACAAAATTAGACTAGCAGTGCACTTTTTTGGAAACTGATAAAATAAATGTAGATTATTTTTCGAAATTTGTTGTGCGTTTACCTATGGAAATTTTATATTTTTTTAAGTACATTTTCAAGATTTCTTTATGAAAATGAAGAAATCAATAAAACTAATTTAAGTGTAATATCATTCTGCCGTTTTTGAGTAATATTAAATTCTAAATTAGTCAATTCTTAAAAAAATATCGAATTAATGAAGTACATTATTTTTGCGTTTAATAAAATTAATTGTAATATCCTTATTGTAATGTTATAAAAAATGTAATTAATAATATGCTAGGCTAAAACTATGAAATCATATCTACTAAAAAAATAGTTGACTTGACTTGAATTTTAAAATGAATAAGTAATATTGGTTTCATTCATTAATTTTTTTAAGATATAATCTTAGTTTTCAATCATCAACTAATTTTTACACCACATCGTACTTTCATAAATTTGAAAAGAAAATAATAAACGAGAATGACTTTCATTATCAAAATGAATGAATGGAGGTATCATTATTAGTATAAAATTTTACCTGCGATTTAAAAATGCGTAATAAGTCTCATATCTCCTTTTCTAATTGACTATTTGACTTTTGTAATATTGAAAATTCATTCACATTTAAATGTCCTTTATAATCTTTTACATCCTGTCCATTATGATTTACAATTGATTTTTGACTTTATGAATTATATCTTTTACTAATGCATTAGGAAAGATAGTAAATTATTTCTTGGAAATAGAATTTAAGATTTTTGCGGTAATTTGAACATTAGGTGAATATCTGATAAGCTTCAAAGTTCATTCATTGCAATATAAAGAAATATATTTACTTTTTAAATTGAATAATATTTCGATTCATAATAAATGGTATTCAAAACGTGGATAAAAAGCTTATATATAAGAGCTAAATTAACTCTTATGATTATAGTAGAAATTGATCAAATCGTTTATTATATAAAATTCTAAGAAACTATTGATGTAGTGTATATTTTAAGAACAAGGAAAATTAGCAGATAATCATACCGTTTATATAAAGTTCATAAAACCTATTGCAATAAAGTATTTGTAATATGGAACTTCAATAATATTAGGGCCACCACTGGACGGTCTGATATGCCCTTTCTTTTTTATATTAATCAAAAAAATTACTAGATGTCATATTTTATAGACAGTTGTAATTACTAAATGAAATAAAAATAATGGAATTTAATGTTGAGTGTTTTTCACAGAGTAGTAAAATATAATTTAGTTCAATTAAAAAAAAATCTTGTTTTAAACCGATCTATAATGCGGAAAATTGATATAACATTTATCAACAAAGTTTGATAAAGTGAGAGATGAACCACGGATACATAAAGTAAGTGAATCATTGAAGGACATTCTTTCATTCATTCATTTTATCCATTTATAATTAGAAATTGAAGTTTATTATATAAAAACTAGACGAAAAATTGCCTGACGATTTTTATGAAAAAAATTATAGTCTCTATTTGATAAAATCTAAATGAATATACCAATCTAGAATTATCTTTAAATGATTAATTTTCATCTGAAGATGTAGAAGTAAGAAACAGAACTTACAAAAATAAAGAAATTACAATTAAACTATAAAAACTCACCGTCACTATGCCTGTTGTATTTAGCGGCTGTTCCTAATATCTGATCAATGCTATAAACTCCCCGTTGTCTCATAGGCGTTTCTTGCTGCGGAGGAACATGAATCTGTTGTGACATCATCTTGAATTGTCAAGTCTTTCACAATAATTTCCAAAAAAACTATCAACACCGATTTACAAGAACACTAACAATATCAAAATCGTTAACTACACACAAAAGCACATTATAGTGATTTACTTTATCACAGGGACATCAACGTCCTGCGTTGGTCGGATAGATACTGAACTAGTCATTGATGATAACAACAATTTTGTGTAAGAGCTTTCGTACCCCCACCCTCGGTTAGAAATAACACAACAAATAATTACCCCGAAGGAAGACGCATAGTGTATTCTTTTGCACATCCCCTTTCCCGCAAGGGTAGCTTTGGTATACCTGTCCCGGTCTCGCACCCCGCTGAATTAAAATTTGATTCAGCGGCCAATAGCGCCGAGGGTAGGCGGGACGAGCTTGCGCCATCGGAGCTTTGAATGAAAAGCTCCCATACAATGAACGAGTGATTTCGAATTGTGTGACTTACGATATTATTGGATGAATGGTTTTAACTTGGCCAATATGTGAATGTTTTTGCATTACTTCTACACATTTTCTAAATATGTCGTTATAATAATATATTAATTCTTTAGTAATTTTAACTGATTATATTTTGATTTTAAATTTTGCAAATTTAAAGATTTTCTTTTGCTAATATATTATTTATATTTATATTTATGTCGAGAACGTTTTGCGATAATAAAACTTACACTCACACTTCGAAACTTATCTGACCTCTTTAATTTAATTAAAATTATATTTCATTAAGCTTAATGACTTTGTCAAATTATTGAAAACTATTGTTTACAAAATAGGTAGGTACTAAAAAATTATAGTTTTTTATATATATTTGGGTTTGTTACTTCATAAATTGAGTTATATATTTAGTATTATTTTAAATAGATAACCTGTAGAGATTCCTGAAAATATTCACAAGGTGAGAGTCATTCTTCAGACAGTCTCATAATATAAATAAGAACTAGTGGGGTGTATGGCATCGTCCCTTAAGGCAAGTTGCTGGAACTTCCCGTACCGTAACGAAATGTTGGAGGAATATTGAATGTTTTCAAATAGATTATTATAAATAAATGCTGTAACATTATCTAATATTTATAAGAATTGTATAAACTGAATTGCAAAGTTGAAATTATTTCTTTAAAGTATATTAGAACTTTGGTCAAAATTAAAAATAAAATTTGAATTATTTTCGATATACAAAAAAAAAAAATTCTTGAAAACAAAAATTAAAAAAAAAATTTGAAACAAAATTTTTTTTATCTAAAATCAATTATTTTGTTAAAACAAGCAAAAGTTCTTTGAATCATTCAACGGACGCTTAGTTCTCTCAAAAACTGCTATTTTTTGCACATTTAGCCTTGTATCTTCTAAATGGCTGGGACAGTCTTTGTCAAAAACTAATTACCACTTCTCCCAATCATTAAAAATTGAATGTTTTTTAGATCATTCAAATCGGATGCTCCGTTCTCTCAAAAACTCGCTTTCTATTTTCTGCACTCTTTGCTCTTTATCTCCGTAACTGCTGGATCTGCCTTTTCCAAAAACTAATCAGCACATCTCCCTATCGATAGGAATCAAATGTTTTGGAACTATTCAAATCGGTTGATTAGTGCGCCCGAAAACGTGGACGAAATATTGTATCCATACATACATACACACACACATCCATTTTTTCTGCGGTATGCCAAAATGTTGAGAAACCTTCAAAACGTCGAGAAATGTAAAAATTTTCAATTTCGATTTTTGGACGATTACAATAACTTACCGTACGGGAAGTTAATAAACTATGAAATTAATTGAGATAATATAAATCTTATAAAGGTACTGTAAATTCTGAGACTTACGTACAATTGAGGAGAAAAAAGTTGCAAATAAATTAAATAAAATATTATTATTCGACACCAATATTAGTATATTCAAACATATCACAATCCTATAAAAAATTTTAAACGCAAATATTTTTAATTAAAAAGCTGACTGTAAGCCATTCAACTATTGAAGATTAAAGATTAAATTTTAAGAGTTTGTTAATAGAAAATACATTAAGTTTGTTGTCAATAATACTTAAATAATAATTATCTTGTAATATATATTGATTTAATAGAAATCCAGCAAACGTATCAGTTTTGTATAAATATAAAAAATGTCAAAATAGATTAATATTTATATTTTCTTCTTTAAATCGAAATATTATATAAAGAAATTTATTTTAGTTTAAAACATCATAGTTTTATTAGGGAATGCGTTTTTGGTATCGGTTCTAACCGTTCTTTGCTGTATTTTTAATAAATAGATATAGATCACCTATTATAAATAATTGAAAGAGAGGTTTCCATGCTTAATTATTTCGTTTTTTTTTGATAGCATTAAGTATTTATATATATAACGATCTATGCCAAAATGAACCTTATGATATTTTTTATTACTATTATATATATTTACAACTATGCTGACTAAGAGGTTTAGGAAATTTGAATACTTGCATTTGTCTATACAATAAAATACACTGTTTTAAAATAGTGATATGTTGAAAAGACTAATCAATAGTTGATTTTTCATTCCATTGATAAATTATACCGATAATATGTAAATTTAGTTTTCATCAAAATCATTGTTGACTTAGATCCAGTGATGATTTTGTTTTCAGTCCTCAATAGTAGTTTTCTGTTAGTATTGTGTCAATACAAATTTTTATAGTATACAAGCTATTATATTTAATGTTTAGAAATTTGTTATTAATCACATTTGCAGTAAAATCAATTTAATTAGCCTTTATATCCAAAAGATTTTGACGGTTGAGCATTGTTATTTCAAATTATGAGAGACTAGATTTGCATGCAAAATAGTTAAACTATTCACACTGAAAATTCATTGATAAATTCTTGGTACTGCATTCAAATTAAGTATTAAACCTGAATTCTTATGAATGAAAGTCACCGGATGTGACTTTATGACGGTATCTAACAAAACGGTACAGAAGTCATTCATAGTTTCAGGCTGATATACCTACCTGCCCAGGTAATCGAAATTATTTCAATTCGATATCATTGATAATTGACTTCTGACTTCTTATACCGTCGTAAAATATAAATCGACGTAATATTTCCTTCTTTTGTTATACAAATAGTTTGAGGCGAACCCGATTTGTATTGTTCGAAGTGTTCCAATTGTCGTTAAAAGAGATTTCGTTCAATGATTGCTTTTGTGGACAATAAGGATTAAATTGGTCAAGTGTCCTACGTCCTGTAAGTTTTAATCCAAAACCATGGATTATGTAAATTATCAATATTAAAATGTTTTAATACATTTCGCATGAAATTACACCAGAGGTTTTAAGCACATATTTCAAATATGGAATACATTAACGTAAAAGTACATTAAATAAATAAGCTAGTGGAAATGTTTATGACGTAGAATGGAAGTTTGGCAATTGCTTTGTATTTTTTCAATCAGAATATTATTAGATAAACTGATACAAGTAGATTAAAAACAAATATGAGTAAAATTTTGGCAATTATTATTTTGTATCGAAATATGTTTTACATCTTGATAAAATTTCATTCAATAAATAAATTAAAAAATATTTTTGAAATACTATTAAAAAATCAGTTTTTAAGCATTTTCATATCGCACATTTTTGTGTAAATTTCTTGTCATATTTTTATCTAGTAATAATACTGTATGCTTGTACTATTAAATAAATGAGTTAATAGAAATATTTATAGATTAGATTTATTTGTCACAAATATTTTGTACCTATCAATTACTATACTATTCGCATTTTTTCAGTATTGGGTTAACATTTTATATCAATTTATTAGTCTAGATTCTGTAAAATAAAGCGAAATATTATTTTTTTATTTTTTTATATATCATTCTGAAATCAATTCAATATACATTATAGAAAGCATTTTGATTTTATAGTTTTTAAAAAATGATATTACCATATCAGCATGGAAAATCTGTTATTCTGCGCAAATATTACTCATGTTTTTTTTATTTTTTAGTTATTTATATTATTATAATTTGATATTTTATACCTTAATTTTTTTAATGTTATAATTGATTGCTTAATAATACTATAATTGTATGCTATAATTATGTTATTTTAATAATTGCATTTTAAGTTCTGCTGGAGCTAATCTGCTGGATATATAATAGAGTAAATAAAATAATTATTATTAACTTCCCGTAGGGTAAGTTATTGTAATGAGCCGAAAATCTAAATTGAAAATTTTTACTTTTCTCGACGTTTTGAAGGTTTCTGAACATTTTGGCATACCTCAGAAAAAATAGATGTGTGTGTGTGTAAGGATACAAATTTCCAGTCACGTTTTCGGGCGCACGGATCAACCGATTTGAATGGTTCAAAAAACATTCGATTCCTATTGATAGGGAGAAGAGCTGATTAGTTTTTGGCAAAGGCAGGTCCAGCCGTTTCGGAGATACGGAGCAAAGAGTGCAGAAAATAGAAATCGAGTTTTTGAGAGAACAGAGTATCCGATTTGAATGATCTAGAAAACATTCAATTAGTAATGATTAGGAGAAGTGCTTATTGGTTTTTGACAAAGGCAGGCCCAGCCATTTCAAAGATACGGAGCTAAATATGTAAAATATGGCAGTTTTTGAGAGAACTAAGCGTCCGATTTAAATGATTCAAAGAACTTTCTGCTTGTCTTGACAAAATAATTGATTTTAAAAAAAAAAATTTGTTTCAACTTTTTTTTTTCAAAAAAAAAATTTTTTTGTATATTAAAAATAATTCAGATTTTATTTTTAATTCTGACTATAGTTCTAATACACTTTAAATAAATAATTTCAACTTTGCAATTAGGTTTATATATTTCTTATAAATATTGGACAATGTTACAATAATAATAATCTATTTGAAAACATTCAGTATTCCTCGAACATTTCGTTACGGTACGGGAAGTTCCAGCAATTTGCCTTAAGGCACGATGCCATACACTTCACTAGTTTTAAATTTACATTATATTGCATTTTATCTC